AAATGCTTGTTCCTTTGGGGCAGCTAGGTGGCACAGTAGATAGAGCACTGGCCCTGAAGTCAGGAGGACCTGAGTTCAAATCCGCCCTCAGACCAAATACTTGACACTTACTAGCTGTATGACCTCAGGTAAGTCACTTAACCCCAATTGCCTAAAAAAAATACTGTATATAAAATTTACATGAGCTCTATGGATTAGACATAGTAACGTTAAGTTGTTGTTGTTTGTTTTCAAAGGGGACAGTGACATTAGGAAGATGATGCCATGACTTGCAAGTGAATTGGATTTAGGGGAGGGCTGTGCAAGGTCACCAGCCTCATTTTCTCCTCCCGGGCATCTGGGTCTAGGGGCAAGATATTGATCAGGATGACTGGAGTGGCCCCCAGGAAGGTTAAGTAAGGAATATTTTAAAAAAGAGCTGCTTTACCATTTTGCCCACTAGAGGGGAGTAGTGTTTCATGTAAAGTACTAGAACCTATTGCCTATTTTAAGTTGGTTCATTTTCAAACCAAAGTGCATTAGTTATACAAAATATGAAAAGTAGTAAAATAACGTTAAATAGAAAAGAGAAAACATAGTACTGGCACTGGGCATGTTGTGTTATTAAATAATATGGCCTCTAGTCCATTCATCAAAATAAGCTACCCGCAGACTCTAGTCGAGATAAATTTTGTTAAAGCAATTTTAATAATAATTTGAACAAATATTTTAGATGCAAGTACAGCAATGGTATTGTGAGCCTTGGGGCTGCTGATGTAACTGCACAATCAACATATCCATAAATGTGGTAAGGGCCCTAGTATCAGTTTTCCAGGTCCATCCAGACTTCAAATTACTCAGCAAATCTGTGAAAATTTAAATAAGTACATATATAAATACCAACAGGATACAGTGGGGAGGAAAATACTGGCTCTGTAATTAGAAGACCTTAGTTCAGATTCTGTCTCTGATGTTTACTACCTGGGTAACCAGGTGAGCTGGAAAGGATCTTGGAGACATTCAGTTCAATCCCCTCATTTTTCAGATGAAGAAATTGAAGTTGAGAGAGATTAAGTGACTTGCCCAGGATCACTTAGCTAAGTAAATTCCTGAGGCAGGATTTGAACCCTGGATTTCCCTACTACCAGTCTAGTTCTCCATTTATTGAGCCATCTCATCTATAAAAAAGATAGCTGGTCTAGGAGGCATTAGAAGTGTGTTCCAGAGCTCTAGCTATGAGCCTAAACCACATAAATTACTGAATAAATGTATGGTTACTTCTGGTAACCATGATACTACCAATCTTGTCTCATTACTCCTTGTTGGAGGTCTGCTATGCATTTACCACATTTCTGTCTGTATTGTAACTATTTGTGCATGTTTTCATCTTCCAACTAAAAGCCAGTCCTTAAGGGTAGCATGCTTTTTTCACATTCACAATACCAAGCCTTGCAAAGCGCCCTGCACATACCTAGTAGATACTTAATAAATATTTGTTAAAGTGAAGCAGGGCCTTTGGGGAAACTGGGAAGTAGCCATCAATGCTTTGCTGTGTTACCTAAATCAACAAGCACGTGCCAAGCACTGCGCTCGATATTGGAAAATTTATCTTGCATATCTTGCTTGTACATGGTTTGTTTGCATGCTGTCTCTCCCATTAGGCTGTGAGCTGTTTATGGTAAGGGAATATTTTTGTCTTTCTTCGAATATCCCAGACTTTGGCATAGTGTGTGACACACAGCAGGCGCTTAATAAATGCTGGCTGAGCAGATGAACAATTCCCTCTCACAAGGTATTAGGGAAATTTATGTTTTTCCAGACCATAGCTCTACTATTGCCCAATATCTCATTTTCAGTCAGTTCTTTTGCCAGAAACCCTCAGGGAACAGAAATACAACTTCCTCTCCCTCGCAGCTACTAAAACTCAGCCCCAGGAGTTTACTCGACCAAGGCTTAAACAACCAAGAAAAGCAGAGGGTGATTGGGGGTGTGTGAGAGAGCCTGGTGACTTCATTGCGCAAGCGTAAACTTCCCCCTCTCCGCGCGCCTCCACCCCCACCCTCCCACCCCTTTCGGGAAAGCCTGGGCCTCTCTAGCCGGCGGGGAGATGCTACGGTAAAGACGGTAAGAAGAGTTCCGAACGCGCTCTATGGTTGCTGCGGGGGGCACACCAACGGCCTAGTCCTCCCGCACTTTATTTCCGGAAGTGAGGTCTTCCGCCTCGGCCGCCGCGGCTGGGGGTCGGGGTGGGCAGCGCCGCCGCTGGCGCCGGGGGGGATGCTCGGGTCTGCGCGCGGCCGGCTCCAGCACCGCGCGGTAAGAGGCGGGGGCTCCGCGAATGAGGGAGGCAAGCGGGCGGCAGTGGGAGGTGATGGGGAAGGACGTCCCGAGAATCCCCCGCTCCTGGCGGGCCCCGAGGAGCCCCGACAACGTCGTTTGGGGAGCCGGGGGCCGAGGCGGTGCCGGGCTCGCGCCTGAGGGCTCTTCCTTCAGCGCCCCCCAACCCAAGTATCCTCCTGTCATTTGAGTGCTCCCCCCAATAGCCGGGGCCGTGATCCAGGGCGAGGAAAGCCGCGGGCTCATTCCCCAGGGGGATGAAATCGGAAGATGATGGAAACCCGGGCTGTGGGCGAGGGGAGGAGGCCGGGGATGAGGCCTCAGCTGGTGGGGGGTGGGTGGACCTGGTCACCTCGAGTGTGTTCGGGGGTCTCCTCCCTCTCGGCTAGCCTTTGCTGCATGTCGCCCGCAGTGTAGTACCCACTGGCACGTCTCAGAGGCCCCCGAGGCAGGGGGGGGGAGGACGGGACCTGGCCTCGCCGGGGCTCCCCTTCCTCCGCCTCCCCCTCCCCTGGGGGCATCCCCTCGGTAGTTGAAAGTCCTGGGTCCAGGCTCCGATTGGGTTGCCCTTTGGGTGGTGACGTCATGGGCCCCGTCCCCGTCCGAGCGAGCCGTTAGATCTCCCAGTGGCCGGACTCCAGCCTGGACCCGGAGGGCTTATGTCGGGTGTTGGGGCAGAGGGCCCCTGGGATGTGACCCGGAGGGCGTAGCTGCTGCTCTCTAGAGGCCGGCCTCGACACCAACCCTGGTGGTCCGTCCGTGACCCCGCTAGCCTGCAGTTCTCTCAAACGAGTCGGTTTATTTCATGAAATGTTCTTGCGTCAGTTAATCTTGTCCTGCACTGTGACATTTCTTCCACTGTTTAAGTCTCTTCTTGTTATAACTTATAAGGAATTTTAAATCTGGACCTTAAAAGATCGTCTAATCCAGGGGATCTTAACCTTTTTGTGTGTCTTGGACCCCTTTGGCAGTGTGGTGGAATCCAGGGATCCCTTCTCAGATCATATTTTAAAATGCCGAGGATTACAAAGGAAACTCATTGAAGTAGTTATCAAAATATTTTTTAAAAAATAACTTCTAGCACCCTAGATTAAGAACCCCTGATTTAATTCAGATCTTCATTTTACAAAAGAGGAACCTGGAATTTTACTTTTTTTTACTTCTGAGCCCCCTACATTGATCATAAACTCTTTCAGAGACACTTTGTACTAATGATGGCAGAAGATCCATCCCCTTGCAGCAGAGGGTCTTGCCTATAACAGACCCTCAATTAATATGAATTGAATCATTAGGTACTTAGTCTAATGTGACATCACGTTGTGCTAGACACCATTTGATACAAAAAGGTACAAAATAAGATCCTTGCCTTCAGGGAGCTTATGGTCTCTAGGAAGATAATAAAATGCTACAAAATGATATGGACAATTAGAGTATCAGACATGGTAAAGCACAATTTTGTGCATGCCATAAAAATATGTTTAAAGATAAAGGTCTAGAATACAGGCCAGTTTTTGGCATAATATCACTATTTAAAAAATAATTAAAGAGAGCTCACTGAGTTAACTGTTGTTTCAGAAGTGCTTTGATGTTTTTTGGGGTTTTTTTAATGTTTAGTATAGCAAATGTTTCCATAAATGGAATCAGAGTTTGGAGGCTCTTAAATGATGACTATTTTGTCTCACGTCATCAAAAAGCAAGGGACTATTGGGGAAGAGTTTATGACCTTAAAGTTGAGGCAGCAAGCCAAAATTCAGAGTGACTACCTCTGACATTTCTGAGAGGGGATTGTGTATATTTCAGGTTGGAGAATTAAAAAACAACCTAATTACATGTGTATTTGAATTCAGGAAATAGAGCCTGAAAATTGTTAATCATTTGAACTTTGATTAGCTTGCTTTGCATTTATAGAAACTGAGAGGGCCAACTTGCAAGATCTATGGGCAGTGTACGTGCAGTATTATGACTTCATTGCTTTTTCTCTACCAATCCTTTCCATACATTTGTTTTCTATTACAAGAACACTAGAACTAGAACAGTAGCTCTTTGCACATTATGATACATGTGGTCTTTTAGTAGTAAGGGATTTTAAAAATTTTGTGTTGTAAATGCTCATTTTTAGATTAGACCAGCACACTTAGCCAAACACCTACAATCTCAATAAATATTTGTTGAATTGAATTGAAGCTTGGTCTTGGAGTCAGTGTTCCACGTGCAGCAGTTGTGGAATTCATAAAGAAAGGCATTTTTCTGTGTGGTCTGTACAATAACTGCTTTGCAGTTTGGTAAGAGACCAAATCTGTCCTCTGGGGTGTGTGTTCTAAATGCGTGATTATATCATGATGCCTTTTTTGTTGTCTAATAACACAGATGTCCGTGCATTTTGTTTTAAGGCTCTCTTCTTGGGCATTAACTGATTACCATTTCTGTTAATATAGCTATCAGATATTCTCTCATCAAGGAAAATGTTGGCACAGCTTTGGTGAGAATTCCTGGTTTCCTTTAAGTCCTAACTAAAATCTCATCTTTTATCTGAAGCCTTTGCCAACTCTTGTTTATTCTAGTACCTTCCTTCTGTTAATTATTTCCTATTTATCCTGTGTATAGCTTTGCATATTGTCCCTTCATTAAACTGTAAACTCCTTAAGGCCTGAAACAGTCTTTTGCCTCTTTTTATATGTCTTCAGGGCTTAGCACAGTGCCTGGCACATAGAAGGTTTTAAATAAATGTTTGCTGATTGATTGATGGGTCTGTATTCCCTAAAATTGGAAGCTGATAGATTGAAGCCTATAAATTTTCTTCCTAAAAGGTGAGACATAATAATAGCTTGTGTTTCTATAGCATTTCCTAAAGTATTGTCCTCAAAATAAGCCTCTAAGGTGGTTTGAGAAATATTATTCCCATTTGACAGATATAGAAGCTAAGTTTTAGAGAACTTAAATGAATTGCCTTTGGTCACATGACTAATGTCCAAGCTGGGACTAGAATCCACATTTCTTGACTCCAGTGGCTTTTTTCCACTACCCACCTCATGTCTATATATTTGAGTAGTCTTTAAACTTAGCATTTCCCCCAGTAATTAGCCACTTAGCATGCTTGTAATCAGTTTATGGAATTTAAATTAATTTGGATGAGCAGTTCTTACAAAAGTAACAGAATCTGATGATTAAGATTTCGTGTAGGCTGAGTCAAGAGGTAAAAATATTCAAGCCCCAGAGATTAAATAACTTTTATTTAACAGTCACTTTTGGGGCAGCTAGGTGGTACAGTGGATGGAGCACTGGCCCTGGATTCAGGAGGACCTGAGTTCAAATCCGGCCTCAGACACATAAGACTTACTAGCTGTGTGACCCTGGGCAAGTCACCCCATTTGCCTCACCAGAAAAAAAAAACAAACAACAGTCACCTTTGAAGGGTATTAGAGAGGTGGACAAAGAAGAGAACATAATGAATAGTGGTGAGATTTGTTGGTAGAGATAAATTAGCAATATAGTTTGCAAAGCCTGAGGACTTTCAGTTTTTAGAAACTATTGAAATCTGAAGTTCTTATACAGAATAAGCAACTTTCTATTGGAGGGGAAAAAATCAAGTTAATTTCTAATTTTTTTTTTGGTTGCTTTAGGAGGTCAGGAGATTATATATAATTGACATGCTCTTCCCTTTTTTCTCAGGGACCTTATCTCTCTTAGATTTCAGAGTAATTTTATATTTTTCTCCCTCATTTACCAGAAAATTAGCTTCCTTGCCTGGTCCTTATCCATGACTTTCTATTTCTACAGTCCTGCCATTAACTCTTGCATTGTCCCTCATGCCCAGAATACTGCTTTGTCTTTCTTTGTTTCCTTAGCTGACTTCAAGGTGTTGGCTGTAAAAGAGACCTTTCCTGATTCTCACCTTCCCAGTTACTTTGTATTTTATTTCTCCCAATATGATTTTGTGGAGATAGGAGACTGCTTTCTGTTTGTTTTTGGATTTTCAATATTTAGCATAGTTAAAGACAAATATACATCAGAAATCCAACATGTCCAAAATAGAATTCAGTATTTCCTCCTAAACTATCCCTACTTCCCAACCTTCCAGTCACTTAGCTTCATAACTTTGGAATTGTCTTCAACAGTTCCACTCTTTTTCACTCGTTATAGCCAATTAATTTTTTAAAAAAATATTGCCTCTTAAATAGGGATGAGTAGAAAGGAATAAGCATTTATTTAGCACCTACTCTGTGCCAGTGTGCTCTGTGTTTTCCAAATATTATCTCATTTGTTCCTCTAACAACTGTGGGAGGTAGGTGCTATTAATATTCCTGTTTTACAGTTGAGGAAACTGAGGTAGACAGAAGATAAGTAACTTGCCCAGGGCTACATAGGTAGTAAGTATTTGAGGCCAGATTTGAACTTAAGTCTTCCTTACTCCAGGCCCCAGGTTCTGTCTACTGGGTGTCTTCACTACTCCAGTTGAGAACCCCTAGTTTATTACCTGGATTATTTCTAGTGAGTCTTCTGCCTCAAGTCTCTCACTCTCCAGTCCATCTACCAGACAGTTGCCAGATTGATATTCTTAAACCACAGATCTGATCGTGTCAGTCCCCTACTCAAGAACCTTACATGGCTCCCTCTGGTTTCTAGGTTCAACTAAGACTTGTTTGGCATTTAAAGCACTTAAAAAAGTTAGTTCCAACTTGCCCTTCCAGATTTACTACACATTATTCTTCTCCACACACACATTCTATATTCTTGTATTCCAAGAATTGGCCTACTTGCTGTCATACTTACGTTATATCTCCTATGCCCATGACTTTGCACAGGTGAGTGTGTGAAAGGAAGTAATGTATTATGAAAGGTATCATTATATTGCAGCATGATACAATGATTCAGTGTTCATGAGTTATCAACTTCCTAGGTTTAGTACATTTTAGAAAGATTCCTCCACCCACCCCCAAAAAAATTAGGTTTGAAAGGGTTAACCATCAGCTATCCAGAATACTCAGCTATCCAAGGTGTCATTTCTCAAAGATACCAGATAGTCAAGTTTTTATTATTTTATTGTTACATATTAATAATAGTTTTTAACTGTTTCCTGTTTCAGATGCTTGTAAAAAATTAACTAAGGAGGATATTCACCCCTGTGGGGTTGGCTCAGATAAAATAAGGACACACTTCCAAAGCAATACAATCTGTTGTTGTCATTTGCCGTAAGTTCACAAATAGTGTTATAGGTAGCAAACTGCCTCTTTGTAAAGGCCTTTAATCATGTTACAGTAGAGAGTATTTTCAAAAGTCACAAAGCCACGACTTGTAAATTTAGTTTCTGAGTTTGATTTAGTTACTGCAAGGGAGCGCTACACTTCTGAAGGTAGTAATTTAAAGGGCATAAGTATAATGTATATCAACTAGAAAGTATTGAAGTATGAGACAGAATACCTGGAGAAAGAACAGCTGTAAGCAGAAGAGCACTAAGTTAAGAATGAATATTTTTGCCTAACTTTCCAAATTTATGACATTACAAAATTGTCCATTGAAGTCTTCAGGATGCTCATTTGCAGATGTAATTGCGTTATCAAGTATCAGAAAACTTCAGACTCTCCTAAGTGAGATGCATAATCATTCAAGAGTTTAGCCTAACTAAACAGGAAAAAACCTAGGAATAAAAGCTGTCTGGTTGAAATGGTGTAATGATTTGGGGCTGATAGCCTAAAGGGCTGCTTTTTTTTTTTTTTTAGTACCTATAGCTTGGAAGGACACTGATGATGGATGACTTCAGCTCAGAATTGAACAGAAGGAAAAAAAAAACAGACTGGATGGTATTTGCACACAGCCCAGTCTTTTTAATGACTCGAAGCTTAATACCAGTGTTCTTTATCGCTGCAAATCATGGGATATCATAAATTCCAAGGAATCAAAAGTGTGGGCCACACAAAGAACAGTGGAAACTGTGGTGGGCCTATTTAGGTTGTAGTAGAATACCAAAGGCAATTTGCACATAAAATAGACCAGCAAAGAGTGATAAATGATGAGGAAATGAATCGATCTATGGCATGACTGAGGGTCTTAATAGACTGAGTGCTAGAAAGAACTTAGTTCATCTAGTTCAACCCCCTCATTTTATGAATGAAGAGGCTGAAGCCAATAGAGGCTAAGTGACTTTGCCAAGGGCACACAGATAACGTGGCAGAGCCAGGATTCAGACACAGATTCAATGCCACCAAATCTAGCACTCTTTCCACTGTACCATGAAGTGTAAGTGTAAAATTTTCCAAATTCCCAAGAGTTTGCTGAAATCAAAAAAGTTTAAAATCTATTACTGATCAGTTGCAGGATAGATAATTTTAATTTCCTACTACAGTATGTTAGTTATATTGAAAGACATCCTGTGTCTCTTGATTAATATTTTAAAATACAATCTATAAATTTTTTTAATGTTACTATGACTGGGAAGGTATTTAAGAGGCAGATCTTAGGTACTCTTTTAAGAATGTATATTTCATTTATCACAAGCACATTTTCAGATATGGCAAATTTTGTAAGTACTAATGCCTTCTAACAATTGAACAATTTATGAGTAATAGATTTTAGTATATCTTATTTTAATTTTTATTTGAATGACTCATATCTGTACCTTTGAGCTTAATTTCTTGGCCAGCTTCATTCTTGGTCTCCAAGTACTTACCAGATATTTCCATTTGGATAGCCTGCTATCACCTTAAACTCAATTTATCTAAAATTAAATTCATTATCTTTTTTCTAAAATTGACTTTTCCTGAATTTCCTAATTCTGTCAACATTGCTAATTTTTGCTAAGCATCCAAATGGGAAACATTGGTTTATCCTTAGAAAACGTTTTCTTGGGGCTGCTAGGTGGCTCAGTGGATAGAGCACCAGCCCTGGAGTCAAGAGGACCTGAGTTCAAATGCAGCCTCAGACACAACACTTACTAGCTGTATGACCCTGGGCAAGTCACTTAACCCCACTGCCGAGCCCTCCCCCCCCAAAATTTTTCTTCCTACATGATATCCAAGTTTTGCTAATTTTTCATTTTTTAGTATTTCCCAAATTAATTTTCCATTTTCACTTTCCAGTTAACACCTTACTCTTGAATTACTTTAGGACCTCCTAAATAGTCTTTTTAATGCTGCTAATATCACGTTGGTGAATCTTCCTTAAACACTGATTTGATATGGCTCCTCTTAATTTATGGATAGAAAAAGTTTAAAGGCAAAGTACTGATTCCCCACTGACAAACAGTGTGTGTTTCCCTTGAGGCTAAAACAAGTATTACAGGAAAGATTCATATCTCAAATTCCTTCTTCCAATAATTACTGCCTCTCATGTACTCAGCCCCTTCTCTCAGTTCCTTTTGGCAGTGAACAGATGGACATCTGTAATTAGTTCAGAGAAAGTTAAATTGGTGTCCCCAATTACCCAGTTTTATGTAGTTGACCATTATAAACGACAAAACAATACTTTCTCATCTTTTATTCTTTTTTTTTTTTGCTTTTTGGTGAGGCATTTGGGGTTAAGTGACTTGCCCAGGGTCATATAGCTAGTAAGTGTCATGAGGCTGGATTTGAATTCAGGTCCTCCTGAGGCCAGAGTCTATCCACTGTGCCACCTAGCTGCCCCCAATCTCTTTTTATTCTTAAAAGTCAAAATGGTCTGCTCATGTTAAAAAAAAACCCTTAAAATATTAGCAAACATATTTTTTGAATAAAAAACATCTGTAGAATAACGTCTAAATGACTTAGCCTGGCATTCAAGACTGCTCGGTCAATTCGTCCTGTATTTCTAACCTTATTTCCAACTGCTTTCGAGCCTGAACCCTCTCCTTCCTCTAAGCCAGTTTTTCAGTCCCCTAAACTTAGTCTGCTCATTTATATTTCCATGTTGTTGTTCATTATATCTTTGTTGTCATCTTTTATTCTCTTCCCTTTATATAGCAAAATTCTACTTATCCTAACAAATCCCAATTCCTTCATGAATCCTTCCTTTACCACACAGTCCATCATGTTTCTTCCTTCTTATGAACTTCTGTAGCATATATCTGTACCACTGATGTGGCATCTCTTGTGACTGCCTAATATGGAGGTTATTAGCATGAACAGAAAGTGTACCTTATATTCATATTCACTCACAATATATCACATATCCAAAGACAACCAAAAATATAATTTCATGAAACATTTGATAATTTCATAGTATAGTGTTCATGGCAAGTAATTACATAAAAGACTGCCATGAAGAGAACTACATCTTATGCACTAATATCTTTTGCAGATAAAAAAAATTTCTACAATGAATTGTTAAAAAAAAGAACTAGAGAACTAGTGTTAGACATAGTAAGCAAATTGAGAATATGCTAATTTGAGGCTCCAAATTAAATCTATAGTGGCTTAAATACAAAGGTGGGCTTGAGAAAAGGAGAGCAAAAATTATATGGTGAAATATGGTTCAGGAGATAAAGGAGGCTAAAGACTCATAGACTACACCAAAGCCTCATACTTATCACAAATACTTTGAGAAAAGAATCAGAAGGTACCAAATCACACTGCAGAAAGTTAAACTGATTCTGTCTTAACAAACAGGAAGTGACTAGGTTGACTTATATAATCGTGTACTGTTAGAACGTCATCTTGTTAAAGCAGAGGTCAAAGTCAATATCAAACTAGAAAAAAAAATAAAAATGAGAATATATGGTGTATAGTTGAAGCAACTCCATAATGAAGAGTAGAAAATGGATTAAAAAAAACCCCAGATATCCAGCATTAACTGTATTTTCCATGGAAGTTTGATATCATTTGCCAAAATGAGGAGACCAGAAGAGTCTAGAAACCATCTTAACAAGTAAACACTTTCTTTGCCAAATAGAAAAAGGTGGCACTTAAATGCATCACCAGTTTATAATATATTCTTGTTTGTATAGTCTTACAGAGGAGTATGGTGGAAGATCATGAATAGAGATAGTGAGAAACACTATTTTATGGGAAAACAAGTTTATGGAAAACTTGGTTGGAGATCCAGCTAATACAGATTGTCCTGAGGCAGTTAAGGGTAAATTAGAAGGAAGGTAAGAAACAGACAAAAAAAATGGCAGTGCTTTGAGGGGCAGATAAGCTCCAGATCTACTAAAACGTGAAATATTGGTGGAATCTGGCAGGCTTTGGTGTCTAGGGAAATGGATACCTAACGGCTCTCATTGGCTCTACCCTCAAGGGCCCGGTGATATCTCCAAAAGGCACATAGTACTTCCCCATTTATATTTAGCATCCATTAACTGTTGGCTGTGATTAGTTTATTAGTTTATTTGCATTTCCCTTACAACTAGAGTATAAAACCCTCAGGGAATAAGATTTAGGACTGGCAAGAAAAAAGGGGGAGGCAGCTGTGGAGTAGGTCAGAAGACGAGGGTTGTAGTGCCCCCATGACACTTGTGACCCTCAGCAAATTATTTAAGTTTTTAGTGCCCTCAACTCCCTAAGACTCCAGTTGCAAAGCAGCTGTAACCTAGAGCTGAACAGAGCAGGCTAGAGACAGGAGAGTCAGGAATCAGAGAAGTTTAATTTCAAAGTGAGGGAAACAGCTTACAAGCAAAGTCCATCTTCCTGAGAAGGGGGCTCACCCGCTTATGGCAGGGATAGGATTTTTAAGTGTGAAAACCATAAATGGCTGGACCACAACACGGGCATTTTTTGGGTCTTGTGTAAACAATCTTCAAGTTGTAGGGGTTGTTGACCCTTGTGATTGTTCAGCAGGGCACAGAACGAGGGTTAGTATGGCCAGGAACAAAAGTGAGGCGCCTGGTTCAGTTCACTTGGCCATTACAAGCTCAGGGATTGTTAGGATGTCAGGGGATCTGATTGATCACTTTGGCTGCAGCATGTCAGCTGCAATGTCAGCTCCCTAGTCAGGGTCACCTTTAAAGTAAGGAAGCTCCAACAAATCTAAATAGTATTATCATTACACATATTGTATCATTAATATGAAAATTACAAATCTCATTACAACAGACTTTTCCTCAACCAATAAAATCTGTTCAGAAAATAAAAGCAAGAAATGGCAAGGATTTTTATAAACATCATCTATCCTGATTGATTTTAAATTTTAGTAATATAAGTTTATAAGACAGTGGCAGTTCTGTGATGGCTTTGGTTAACTCTTAGCTTTTCTCAGCAAATTGTCCCATTTTCTCCTGTGCCTTTTTTCCTCCCAGATTTAATTATGCCTTACAGCTCTTAAGAGTCTGAAATAGATAGATATCTTCAGAATATGGAGTGATCCAGAAAAAGATGGAAGACGTACAGCTAATTGCACCCAACATGACAAGCACTGAAGAAGAAGAGCCTATCTCTGGTATTAGTCGTCAAATTTCTGTTAGTGAATTTTCTTGCCACTGCTGTTATGACATCCTGGTGAATCCCACCACCTTGAACTGTGGGCACAGTTTCTGTCGACATTGCCTGGCTCTATGGTGGGTGTCCTCAAAGAAAACAGAATGTCCAGAGTGTCGAGAGAAATGGGAAGGTTTTCCGAAAGTAAATATTCTGCTCAGGTAATTCTCAATCAATATCCAGAGCACAGATAGGCAGCTTTTATAATAATGATTTTATTTATTAATAGGAGATACTGTTGCCTTGTATGTTTGAAAAAGGCAAATTCAGAGGAGTTCTAAGTACTGTGGTTTTTTTTTAATCTGTTGTAATATCATTTTTAGCTTTAAAACATAGCTAAAACAGGGCAAAATTTTATTCCTTCCTACCTAGGTGATTCTTAGAGTTTTTAAATAAGTATAAAGGATAATTCTGGTTATCAGACAATTACTTGAAACAATTTGCCTTGTAATAATGACTTCCTGGATCATGTAGAATAACCTAGATTTTTCCTTTCAGGGCAAATGGTTTAGCCATACAGTTCTTTTATATAATTGTTATTGGCATGATCATTTCTGCAACCTTTGAATAATTCCCACGATGGAATTTTTTCTTCATGTATTATAAATAGGTATGTGGCAATTCAGATAATCAGCAAGTACTTTCAATTTCTATAGTGTCAATCTTGGGTAAAGTGAAGCTGAAAATCTGGACTTTGCTCATTTCTTTATTACTGAATTCATTGCTAGTCACATCAACAAAGTTATCCATTAATTTTTATCCTTAGAGATTTGCTTTTTTACAAGAATTGATTTTTACTGAACTTTTGTTAGGTTCTTTAGTTAGAGAAAGTTAAATCAACTGAGCCTGCTACATCATGAGCTATATATACTCATATTTTTCCTACTACCAGACTTTAAGTCAGCTTAGAGTTCAAGCTTTACTTTATAGACTTATGATATATTTAGTTAAATAATTTTCTTGATTTTATTTTGTCTGTAGAGATGCCATTGAAAAGTTATTTCCTGATGCCATCAAATTGAGATTAGAAGACATTCAGCAGAACAGTGATATAGTACATAGTCTTGCAGCCTTTCATAAATACGGAAATGATCAGATTTCTGTAGCTCCAAATGCAGGGCGAGCAAATCCTCAAAGAGGAGGAGGATTTTTTTCTGGAGTACTGACAGCTTTAACTGGTGTTGCAGTAAGTTTATCTTTTGTCTAATTTCCTTCTGCACTTTATCTGATAATTTAACCCTGTTTCTCTTTAAATATGGTTAGATCATTAAATGGCTTCATGAAGAAGTAGCTGTATGTAATAGGCAAAAAGACCTGGGTTTGAATCCTATTTTTACATGTTGAGTGTGTGATCCTGGACAAATGACTTAACTTCTCAATGCCCCAAGGCAGCTCTCCAAGACTGTAAAGTGCAGGGGAGGTGCTGATCTGCATTGGCAAGAGGTGGTAGAAAACTGGGGGTTTCCTACACCAGTGAAATCTCAGATCTCATCCGAAAAAAACAAAACGAAACAAAGAAGACTTAATAAGTACTGGTGAGTGTTTTCAATTGCTCATTTCATATAAATTTCCCCAGACATGGTACTTTAGTATACTAAAGCTTAACAGTATTTCCTTATGTGGTACATACTATAAAATCCTAAATATTTCATTTTCTGTTTAAATTGAAAGACACCAGATTAAAGTTATTGTTTTGTTTTGCCTGAGAGCTATGATTTCATTGGTGTAAGTAATTGCCTGGGAGGAAACACCCTCTGCCCATGCAGTTGGCAGCTGTCCAGCACTTGAGAGTCTTGGAGAGCTGCCTGGAGCACTGAGAGGTTGTGACTGTCCAAGGATCACACAGTCTTGTGTAAAAACAGCCTGTAAATCCAGGTCTTTCTGACTTTATCCACTCCACATTGCTACCTTTTCATAAAGCCATGTGATTGTCTCCCCATAGGGATTAGTGATACTTCTGGAGAGGTAAATTCAGCCTTCAGGTGGTCCCAGTTAACTTGGTGTTTATTTCAAGTTTGTGAAAACAGACTGAGTTTTCACCAGTCTGAGTTTATCAGCACAAAAATGTCTTGGTGTTTCCTTGACTATTCAGGTTCTAGGTGGAATGACTGGCAAATATAACAAAGAGCAAACAGGTAGACATTTATTTTTCAAGGTGACTTATAATGGTGTAGGTGACCTGCTTTCATATTAAAGGTTTTCATCAATCAAGAAATCAGTAAACATTTATTAAGCACCTATATGTGCTAAGCACATCTCTTAGGAAATCTGCTTCCCTGAAACTTCAGTTTTTAACACTGAAGTATTATGACTATCTATGCCTTAAACTTGCTGTCATTCTCTTTTCTAGGTAGTTCTACTTGTATATCACTGGAGCAGTAGAGAATCAGAGCATGACCTGCTTGTTCACAAATCTGTTGCAAAATGGACGGCTGAAGAAGTCATCTTTTGGCTAGAGCAACTGGGCCCTTGGCCTCTCTTTATAGAGAAAGATTTTTATCTGAAAGGGTTAATGGCAGGTAAGTAATACATTGACATTTTAAAAGATAGTCTACTGTTGTGATAGATCAGAGCTTTCAGATGGAAAAAATAAATAAGTATAATTAAATTAACCTATAAATAAAATCTTGATCTCCACTTAAGTCATTCTGATATCTCGTGGCATACAAGTGACCCAAGTTCCCCAAAAGGCTTTGCCAGCGGAGAGCAAGCTCTGGCAAGTCTAATCAAGCTGGAGAGGCTTCGAATATAGGCCTGGCTTTGACCTATATGTTTTGTCATCCAGAGACCAGCTTAATTGAGGGCAGGAGGTCTACACAAAATTATTTTCAGCCACAGTAACTCAAAGACTTCACCAGCATGTGTAGGGATTGTAGTCCGTGTCAGAAGATGGAGTATATACACCAAAAAAATCATGAATCCTTTAAGTGTTGAAGAATAAGTAAAACCTACACGTCATTTTGTGGGCAAAAAGAAAATGTTTGAAAAGATGCTCCAAAGGGCAGCTAGTTAGGTGGCGCAGCAGATAGAGCTCCAGTCTTGGAGTCAGGAGGACCTGAGTTCAAATGTGGCCTCAGCCACTTGACACTTACTAGTTGTGTGACCCTGGGCAAATTACTTAACCCTGATTGCCTCACCAAAAAGAAAAAAAAGATGCTCCAAAATAGAGACAGACATCAACTGCCAAAATTTCACTTATTTTCTCTCCCACCTCAACATTATGTTTTGAAAAAATTTTCAGTTTTTTCACAGTTGAAATTCCTGTAAATATAGCTTATACCCACAATTGGGTAATATAAGATAGTCATTCTGAATCTGTACTGCTTACTTTGCATTTTGTCTCTGTGACCTATCATAAAGTGTATCTAAAGTAAAACTGGACTTTAATATCACAAGTTGGTTCTTTTCCCTCCCGAAAAAACCAAATAAACAAACAAAACAAAACCAGACAAACAAAAACCAGTAAAGCTAGAGAAGGTTACATACCTATGAATGGGACTGAAAAAGCTTTTGTTTATAAACTAATACAGTTAGGACTCTAGACCAAGGCTGAGGTGAAATGTGTTTTAAGTCTATGTAAAAGTCAGACAGACTTTGGATAGGGTTGGACATGGAATTATTCACCAAAAACCACAGCTAAGAAGTGTCTCTCATAGTGTGAAAAGGAGTATGACAAATATGAGGAAGGGTTATTTTAAGCCCAACAGGTAGTAAAACCTGTATCCCATGTTAAAGCCTAAGGAGATATTTAGAAACAGATAGTAAGGGAAACTAGAAGTGTTTTGGGATACATTCTAGTGGCTTGCTGTTGTTACATGAACTGTTCTTTTCTATAAGCCAGCCTTAGTGCTATTGTCAAAGACTGAATTTTGTTTCAGATGGATTGTGAGGCTGACCCAGTATAGTGATTCTTATGTTTTTGTTTTTGTTTTTGCTTTTTGGTGAGGCAATTGGGGTTAAGTGACTTGCCCAGGGTCGCCCAACTAGTAAGTGTTAAGTGTCTGAGGCTGGTCCTCCTAACTTCAAGGCCAGAGCTCTATTCACTGAGCCACCTAGCTGCCCTGATTCTTATGTTTTTATATATGCAGCTGTTTCAGATGATTTAAAAATCAGTTTCTAGTTAATATGCCCCTGTTTTTAAAAAGTCTCTTGTTAATGTTTGCTTTTTAAGTTATTGGAGTCGAATAAGCTTATTAAATTTGAACAAATCATTTAACAGACATGTGGAGCATGAGCTAAGCATTATGCTCTACCAAGAAAGCTCCATCAAGTGACTCTGCTGTCTGCTTGTCACATGCTGGGAGGCCTTATGTACTGTTCCTGTATGACACTGATTTGTATGCTTTTATCTGACATTACATTTCGTTGCTGAGATTTGGAAGTTCAGTAACTTCCTGGGTTTTAAAGCAGTATTTTGTTGTATCGGCCTCTTGTTGTAAATGGTTTACCCCAGAGTGCTTAGCAATTGCTGTAGTAGTCTTTATGTTGAGTTCCAGGTATATGAAATGTTTTAGTCCTTTTACAAGTCTGGGATAATTTCCAAGAAGGAATTTTGAACACGAAAGGGGTACTTTCAACACATGATCTCAAAGAACAGATTTTTTTTTCTTTTTTGCTCCCCTACCGTAGATTGCTTTTAACATTGACAGATGAAGACTTTTCAAAGGCTCCATATAACATAGAGAATAGTAGCCACAGAAAAGCCATCATAATGGAACTGGAGCGGGTCAAAACTTTAGGAGTAAAGCCCCCACAGAATCTTTGGGAATACAAGGTAAACCTTTATAGCAGCTGATTCCCTTCTTCATACATAGATTAAACCATTTGTTAACTTTTTAAGATAAAATACTGAATTAGAACCCACGTCTCCCTCTTGTGGTCAGTCCCAACTCTAGCGTTACCAGATATATGACCCTGGATAAGTAATTTCTTGATCTCTGGATCTCATTTTCCTCATGTATAAAATTAGGTGTATGAGAACAAATGATTCTGTTAAGCTCAAATTCTACAAATGTAGTATAATTATAATGTACTATGAAAGCCCCATAAGTCTAAGGGAGTTAGATAATATTCCAGCTAACTGGTTAACTTCTAGGATTTATTAACCAAAATGTTTGCCAGTCCTGAACTCTTCACTGCTAGACAGCAACTGATCTTTAAGATATTGACACTAATTTTAACAGTGGCCTGAGAATATCATAGTTAGTGAAAATAATTCTATTACAAAAGGAAATGCTGTATTCCATAGCTAAACTGATTTTTTTGTACTAGTGATTTCCATTCCATTGGCATGAGAGGCAATATAGCGCAGTGTATAGTGAGCCAGTCTCCAACCCAGGAAGACCTGGATTTAAATCCAGCATCTGCCTCATACTGGATGATCACTTCATTTTAGTGGCATACACAATTCTCTATGACTACAAGTTGCAGAGAAGGTGCCAGTCTACATTAGTAAAAAAAAAAAATTCCTTACCTGGGAGTTCATTCATATACCGGTAAATTGAGGGTTGGTTATATAAGGAAAGGAAATGTAACCATAACAGGATCACCAAATTTTGGACCTAGAAAGACAGAAATTATTTAGTTATAGATTCGTAGGAAATGAAGGCATAAAGGCATAAAGAGGTTTCATGATTTGCATAAGATTCCATAGTCATTGGCAGTGTCTTTTTACTCCTCTTGTGGTATTTCCATTGTATCATATAATAAGGTTCCTTAAGTTTTTCATTGACGTTAATAATCAACTAAGTACTTTTTCCCGTCTAACAAGTACTTTTGTGTTCATGTTTCTATGCTAGGTGCTTGTGGTCATTTGTATTTCGGTAGTTCTTCTTTCCTTATCTTATGGAAAGTAGCCAAGAACTTTTATCTTTTCAGGCCAAGAGTTCTATTAATAGGAATCTTATAGTGCTCTTTCCTGAAGACTCATAATGGAACCAACCCTAGCACTGTTAGACTCTATAACTGGAATTTGCAGTACTATAGAATGTTTGCTCTCCAGACATTTAGAAGTTTTAGAAGAATCTTTTATTTAGGGCTACTGCTTGTAATCTAGCATTTAAAGATTATTTTAGAAATTGGGACTTTATATGGTATAAGTTACTGTATGTTAATGATAAATACTAGTCTTTCTCACTGTATTACCTCATTTAAGTCTGCAAAAAAAAAGACTGCAAATTTTGTTTTACAAAATTATCTAAGTGAATTTAAAAGGATGATTCCCCCCGTTTTTAATATTGCATTGTTCACCTTCTAATGCATTTCAGGCTGTCAACCCAGGCAAGTCATTATTCCTGTTGTATGCCCTGAAGAGCTCCCCAAGACTCAGTATGTTGTATCTGTACTTGTTTGATTATGTAGAAACCTTCTTACCTTTTATCCATACAATATGCCCTGTGCAAGAAAAAGAGGATATCATCACAAAGTTTCTTGTAAGTTTTTTTTGGAAGATCTTGACTTCAACTATTTTATATATGTATATGAGATTGAACCAGATGTTTTGATAAGAACCTGGTATGAGACAATAGAAATAACTTAACTTGCCTTGACTTAATAATAATGCCCCCCTTTAAGTTGTATAAAGCCCTTTTATCATAGCAATTCTGAAAGGTGGGTATTAAACATTTTTTAAAATTTGGATCTGTGATTTCATCCATCTGGGAAGTTAAGTGGCATAGCAGATAGAGTGGATAGAGTGCTGGGGCTGGAGTCAGGAAGAAAAGAGTTAAAATTCAACCTAAGACACATATTAGCTGTGTGACCCTGAGCCTGAGTTTCCTCAATTCTAAAATAGGGATTATAATATATAATATAATAATAATAAATAGAGATTTTTTTATTTCTAATAAGTTATTTTAAAATAATAGTCTTTTATAAATTATTTACTTTGGTCATTCTTCCAGTTTTTTGCTGATGCTTGTACTTACTTTTATTGGCCTTTTTTTTTTAAAGGAACAAATTATCACTGTTTGTTAGATTTTTTTCACTGTTTTCCTTTTTTCTTCCTCCTCTCTACCCCTACATGCCTGAGTTACATATGTGGTAGGGAAAAACTAATGGACTTGATTATTTTAATTCATTCAGCCTCATTTAATAAAAGATCTATTGGAGAGCTTCAAAAATAATATATTATGAGTGCCTTTATAATTGCAATACAATCTGGGTGATCATTTTAATTTTAAGATTAACTTCAGTTTAGATTGTTTCAAAAAGGAATAAAAAGTAAACTAGTTGGTAAACCAAATTGTTCTTGTAAAAGCTACGTATTTTTTTTTCCCCAAAGGACTTTAAAGAGCCCACTTGGAAGCAGTGGAGAGAATTCCTTGTTAAATATTCTTTCCTTCCATATCAATTGATTGCTGAATTTGCCTGGGATTGGCTTGATGTGCACTACTGGACGTCACGGTTTCTTATTGTTAATGCTATGTTGCTCTCTGTTCTGGAGTTATTTTCCTTCTGGAGAATTTGGTCAAGGAATGAATTGAAGTAAGTACAGAAATGAATGGAATAGAAGGGTCTGGGAAAGAAATAGTTTTCAAGACATGTAGCTGTCTTTGAAATATTTTGAAGGTTCTCTTATTTGGGGGGACATTTGAAAAATAATCACTTATAAAATATTTCCCCAAGTATTATTTACATATAAACATTAGCATACTCTTGAGAAAAGAGATCTTTTAAGAAAAGGATTAAAGTAAAATGTTTCCTTCTTGGCAAATTGCACAGTGATATAGAAATGGAATTGGACATTAGGCAGTCCAGATTTTCTTGCTGGTATGTGATCTGAGAAGAAGAAAGGGGAGAGAACAAGCATTTATTAAACTCCTACTGTGTGTCATACGCTTTACAAATATTTCCTTTGATAATTATCTCACTTGACTTACCACTTAATCACTCTGGGCAGAAGTTTTCTCATCTGATAATAGGATCATAGATTTAGATCTGAAAAGGGTCTTAGAGGTCTCATTCATCTCCACCCCCCTCATTTTACAGATGAGGAAACTGAGGCTGAGAGGTTACGTGACATGCCCAAGCTCACACAATATGTATCTAAGGGAGGATTTGAACTCAGATCTTCCTGCCTCTTGAGCACAATGGCTTTGTCAGTATTCCACCTAGCTTCCTCTAAATGAGGGGCTTAGACTAAATGGTCTTGGAAGTTTTTTCCAGCTCTAATATTCTGTGATCCTATTATAAAATGTCTCCTGGGTGAATATTGATCAGAACTGGGGGGAAACATTTTTCCTTGCAGAATGCTAAAGAAATTGTGTTTCTGCCCTTTTACATTTTCTTGCTTTTCCATTCCTGTATTTATTCCTTCCAGTTCTCAGAGGCCCAGCATACCCATGAAAACAATCAGAAAATAATCAACACCATCAGTTGGAGGTGTACTCTAAAGGATAATGCAAATGTTCACTTGCCCCAGGATATCTAGAATTATGCATCTTAGAAGCTGATGATTCACATGTAAACTGTTTGGAAAGCTCTTTTCCAACAACCCTATGAAATCAGTACTGTGTATATTATTTTTTCCATCTTACAAATGAGGAATGAGTTCCAGAAAGGTTAAGTCACTTTCCCAGAATAACAGAGCCAGGATTTGAATCCAGATCTCTCCTAATTCAAGTCCAGTGCTCTTTCTACAACCCCATGCTGTTTCACATATGGATTCAATAAGAGAGAAACATTTTTCTCTTTAAGAAAAGAGATTTCACTCTGTAGTAGCCTGCAGATTTGGGGGCAAGGGGCAAATAAGTTAGAAGCAACTACTGTACACAATATTCTTTTATACAAACCAGGACAAATGTATTTATCTGGGTCAGGTTCTTTGGAAATAGCCATAGGAATTAACAGATATTCTCATTCTAACCTAATTCTCTTCTTTTTTCAGAACTGTTCCTCACATAATGTGGAGCCATTTTTGGAAAGTATCAACACAGGGACTTTTTGTGGCCATTTTTTGGCCTATTATTCCTCAGTTTATTTGCAACTGTTTATTTTACTGGGCCCTGTACTTTAACCCAATTATCAACATTGATCTTGTGGTCAAAGAAGTACGCAGACTAGAAACCCAAGTGCTGTGAGTATTGCTGTCCCAGCTCTGAGTGAAGCTGGCCTCCAGCAGGTCTGAGCTTTGAAATTTAAAGAGTGGTGGGGGCTGCAGTGGGAGTGAGGGTAAAGGGGGAGTGGGGTCCGCTTTTCTATAAATAGTGATAAAAGGAGCTGCTTTTTTAAAAAGCTACACAAGGGTTTTTCTTGGCATGGGAAACAGGACCCATCATTCCCAAACCAGTATTGGTTTATTCAGATTGTACAGTAGTGATATTTGCCGCATACTATATTACTACCTCACAAAGGTGCTGTGAGGCTCAATGAGATGATGGCCATGGACTGTTAGAGCTCCTCAAAGATGGGACATTGAAGTATCATGGTATTAGCTTATGTGTGTTTGCTTCTCAACAGGCCTTCTGAGGCCTAGTTTGATAGATCTGGTAAGTGATAGAGAATCTCATTTGGAGCACTGATGATGGGAAAATGAAATTCTACTAGGCAGGACACTGCCTTCCAGGTATTCTCAATAAGTGAACTTCTAGTCATGTGTGGTTATGTGGTCTATTATAAACATAGACAAACAGCTGCAGACCAGAAGTGCGGTGTGGAAGATGCTGTCCTGTTGGTGACTTCTTGGGAAGCATCATGGTGAAAACTCTGCAGTCATTGAGTTGCTGACATATTCCCTCCTAAACAGTTTTAAGCAATGTTTTGTGTCCTTTTATTTAAAAAGGGATGTTGAACAACTTTGAGCAATTAATGAAGACTGATTTTAGCCGTTCTGTGCTGTCTCAGTGCTTCCTAAAAACAATTTTTTCAAAAAGAATCGGATCTGTGACAAATTTCAGGATTGTATTTTTGTTTAAGAAACATTTGATAATTGACCTCACACTGTATCATTGTCTTTGTGATGTGATATCTGTACCAAGAGCTGTGATTTGTAAATATGGAATAGGATAAACTATCCAAAGAGAAGCATGGCAGCTTCTTGAACCATTCTTTGACCCTTTGTATCTTGTCTTAGAAGTGAGGATTTCATATTTGCATCTGAAGGCTTCAAAACATTACTTTAAACAAAAATAAAGAGTTTTTTTAAAGTCCTTTTGAATTTATAACTGAATTTTTGGAGATATATCTCACTGCCCTGACACACTAAACACACCCAACTTTCTAACCACTTCTTAGGTGTTGAAGAGATTACATATGGGATACTGACTTTGCCTCAGGGCTTCGTCATTACCTTTGTCAACAGAGGCAGAAACCAAACTGATTGAGAAGAGTCGGAAATTTGAGTTCTTATTCCTTTGTGCCACTAACGGCTAGCTGTGTGATCTTGGGCAGGACATAAAAACATTTGAGGTTTTTATTTCTTTATCTACAAAGTGAAAGGATAGGACTAGATATCCAAGTTCCCTTCTAGGATTCTAGGAAAAAGTGACTGAACAACTGCCCTGCTCCAGGCTCTGCGCTCTCCACTGTACCACCCAGCCTTTCTTGTTCTTCAGTTGTGATCCCATTTGACAGAGCTACTTGGCAAAGATAGTGAAGTGGTTTGCCATTCCTTCTCCTGTGTGTCCCCATTTTACAGATGAGGAACTGAGGCAAAAAGGGATTAAGTGACTTGCTCAGGGTCACACAGCTAGTGTCAGCAGCTGGATTTGATCTTCTGACTCTCCACTGCACCACCCAGCCTCAACTATACATAAAACATGCTGAGGAGGAAGGGGCAGAATAAGTCTCATCACTCAAATATTCTAAGAGGGAGAGATAACATTATTTAGCTGTAATTGAGATGGAAAGACCGTAGATTTTTAGGGTGAAAAACCAGTAAACTTTCTGTAATGTAATTACCTTTGATAAAACCTTATCCAAATCAACAGTTCCTCCCCTGAAGTAGCTCTAGGATCAGTACCTATTATTGTGCAGTGAATCAGACTCTCTTAATGACCCCATTTAGGGTTTTCTTGGCAAAGATACCAGAGTGGCCATTTCTCCAGCTCATTTTACAGTTAAGAGGGAGGCAAACACGGGTAAGTGACTTTCCCAGGGTCACAAAATAAGCTTCTGAGGCTGATTTAAACTTGGGTCCTCCTTACTCCAGAGCCAGCACTCAGTCCATTGCACACCACCTAGTTAGGCCTATTAGATTAAGGACCCTGTGGTCCACTTGAAGCTTTTCTTTGTTTTGATGTAGGATAGGTGTAGTGATAAAACACTAGGTAGTCTATGACTAAGGTAAATCCCTTAATCTTAACCATTTCCATATCTGAAGTATAGTACTAATAATATTTACAGAGTCCTTTTAAGAGAGGCACTTTGTAAAACCTCAAGTTTTTTATATATATGTAAATGTTTTTAACAATTATAAAAACAAATGACCAGGAGTAATTGAGTTCATAAACACAAAGCACATGAACTCAGAGTTGAATGACACCAATAATCTGGTTTAAACATTTATTAAATGCTTTTTCTGTACAGAGAATCAATGTTAGACACCAGGGGAAGTAAAGATTTAGGAAAAAAATAGTTTACAGTTTGGCACTTGTAAGATTATAAATATAATAGCAATTCTGTAAAACAGGTAAATAAGTTTTGCTCTAGTTACAGCTTGGAAATAAACAGGAGAGGTAGTCCTTGGCCTGTACCCTATCTCCACTTCTTATAGTTCTAATAGGAAACCATACTTGAAATGTTTGACAATTTCGATTTTCTTTGACAATTCAATTCTAATAATAATAGCTAGCATTTATATAGCATATATTTATATAGCACCTACTATGTGCCAGGCACTTTATAAATATTCTCATTTGATCCTCACAACAGCCCTGGGAGGTAGGTATTGTCCCCATTTTACGGTTGGGGAAGCAGGTTGACAGAAGTTAAATGACTTGACCAAGCTCACACTAAGAGTCTGAGGCCAGCTTTGAACTCGGGTCTTCCTGATTCTAAGACCAGCACTCTATCCACCTTACCACCTAGGAGCCTTAGAGTAAACAGGGAACCATGTTTACTAGCTAAAATTTCTAAAGGTAAGAGAAATCCATAAAAAATATTGGGAGATGAGGCCGATTTATCATTGTAAAAGCAAAATTTAAGAGATTATTAAGCTTACATCTTATAAGACACCAAACCTCAGTGAGATAAGAGGTACCAGAACCCATATATGTCTTTTGACATATATTTAATTAGATCTCCATTCTCCTAAGAAGTTTACACCTTTGCCTGTCTCCTTTGATTTAAATCCCTATCTTTAGGGTCATAGATGGTTTGGCATTGTCCCCAGAGGGCCACAGTTAAAATATAGGTAAAACTGGAAGAATTTGCCTAACCTCCCATTTTCACAGTAGAACTTGGTTTCTAGGATTTGTCCATGGATTGAAAGTAAGGAAATGGCTGCCAGCTAAGTTTCAGTGGAGATGAAGCATGTGGTCCATGCCTTAGGCCTATAAGGGAGAAGTAGGTAAGAACCTTTATTTTGCCCTTACTGGAGCACTGATACTGTTTTTTGCTTAGGGAAAATTATTTTTATATACCCGCAGTCAAAAAGAAAATTTCCAGGTTGTGTCAGTCACACTTCGGGTTCTTATCTCCACAATGGAGATGGAGGAAGAAAATGTACTTTGCATTATATTCTGCTGTGGCCAAACAGTGGGCAAATTCCTTGTCACATTTGCACATCATCTCTTGGCACTTGTTCAGGTTGGCACCTGAAAGAGGCAGAGAGAATGCAAGTTATGGGATTAGATGTGGCAAGTACACTAAACAGTATAGGCATGATGTGAGAGAGGGTAGAACACCCAGGCATTAAAAGATTGACATTCTAGCTATACTGCAGGATTCAGCGGTGTCTCTTGGCATTATTACATTATTTCTCATTTCAAGTTTAAAATCTCTTCCTTGGGTGTTTAGAACAATACAAGACTGTCCTTAAAAGTGAAATAGGCAGCCATTTATGTGGCTGTTTTTCCATGATTTGAGAGTTGTAGATGGAACCAGAAGGCATATGAAATTCCATTACTAGATGTTCATTCCTTTGAAATCTTCCCATCTATGCTGAGTGTCTGGCTAGCATAGATGTGCCTTAATTTTCTTTTACTCCACTATTAGTATGACAGAAAATTATGACAGCCTAGAGCAAGTCAGTGAGAGAAGAGCACAAGACTGGTAAAGGTTGATAGAGGGGGGCTGGTATTGAGATCCTAGAAAGACAGAGGGAGCCCCTGGGAGATTTCCAAGCATGAGACTTCGAAGTCCCAAGTGTGACTGACATGATTTAGAAATTTTCTTTGACTGTGGGTATAGAAAAATTATTTTCCCAAAACAAGAATAGCACCAGTGCTCCAGTAAGGGCAGAGTAAAAGTTCTTACCTACGTCTCTCTTTCCTAGCTGTTTAGGAAACGATACCTATTTCAGACTTTTGTTCAGGGCTGACTATGACTCTGTTATTGGACTTAGATGTGCTACCGAATGGTAGTATTTGGTTTCTTGCTACCAGATTAAAGAGAATTTGCAGTCATGGCACCTTGAGTACTGTGAATAGCCTTAGTTCATTTTAAATCTCTCAAACCTGACCATTAGATTGTGAACTTCTGCAGCTGACAAAATGTCTTTTGCCTGTGCCTGGTCCGTAGGAGGCACTTAATAAATGCTTGTTGACTGCGTAACATTGTTGGCCAATAATCCCATATTGCAATATCTGGAATAATCCGTTTTTCCTGTCAAAGAACCAGTCCTTCACAGAAGGTCTAGTTCTCCTCTAATCCAGTGAAAGCAAACTTAGAATTGACTACAGTTATCTCTGCTTATCAGAGTAGAAGAGAAGCCCAGAGAATTTCAGTGCAAAAAGCACCAGAAATAAACTGATTATTCACACATATCAAATTGACTATGATACAAAGTCAGAAAGACCTATTGTATCTAAAAGAGAAAGGCTGTCAAAAAGATGCTAGTCTCTTGAATCTGACTGGACCAGTGTAGAGATAACTAGAGATACAGTATCTCCTTGTTTTTTCCTTGTAGAGGCCAGTTTTTTGAATCAGTCATGGAGTAGGGCTTGGGATAGCTTACATTAGTTCTTATTAAAATTTCAGATCCCTAGAATTTTATTTTATTTTTTTATTTGGTGAGGCAATTGGGGTTAAATGACTTGCCCAGAGTCTGAGGCTGGATTTGAACTCAGGTCCTCCTGACTCCAGGGCTGGTGCTCTATCCACTGTGCCACCTAGTTGCCCCCCAAGTCCCTAGAATTCTTAAGAGGAATCAAAGAGGATTAATTCTCTGTATTGGATCATTGAGGCAACAGGTTAGATGAAGAGGCTTGGAAAGCATCCAGGGAAGTATCTTAGCACCTGATTCCATTAAGGTAAGATCCTTAACAGCAAAAAGTTATAGTAAATATGTGTTACTTTTAAGTAATCCTGCTTAAAAGAGTCCTAGACTTGGAGTCAGAAGACCTGTGTTCAAATTCTGCCTCTGTATTACCTCAGTGGCGCTTCACAATTCACTTGACCTATCTGGTCCTCAGTTTCCTCAACTGCAAAATGATGTGCTCTACCAGCTTTAAATTTGCTGATCATAGAGATCCAATTATGACTAAATCTGGGAAGATCAAAAAATTAACCTTGTTAATACTTTTAGTGCAAGTGAGCACATTATTTCCTCTAGGATTCCATGTAGACAGAAGCCATCAAGTGAGATGGAGATGAGGAGCTAGGAGGCCCATGAAAGGGAAAGAGAAGGTTGCAGGGACAGGTTAAAACAAATTCAGGTACTTGAGAATTTTGTCTAGAACTCAGGCCTGCATCTAAGTGAAGCTGTAACTAAGGTTGAGATCATCCAGATTACTTAGTACAAAAACTATCACCAAACTATTTTCTACAGATTTTCTTAGCAACCTTTTCATAGATTATTAACAAATTCAGTAATGGTGGAAAGAGTATTGGATTTGGAATCAGGAGATACAGGTTCGATTCCTGGTACTACCTATATAATGCCAAGAAAGTCATGTAACTTACTTCTCTGAGCTTCAGTTTCCTCATCTGTAAAATGGGAGTTTTGAACTAATATTAGGTAGGCATTGTAGTGCAGTGGAAAGAGCACTGAATTTGCTGTATCTGTGACCTTGAACAAGGTAAGTAACCTCTCTGATGTTGCATGTAAATAGGAATCCAGATCTTTTCCTTTTACAGGCTTTCTTCTGGTCACCACCAGAGACCACACAGAGCTAACAGCAGAGTAAATCTCACTTTTTAGTACGTGGAATAAGGATGATTTGGTATTGGGTGACTCTGGGTAGTTGAAAAGGGAACTGTTCTTTGTCTCCTCTTAAATTTCTGGAAATTCAAGATAAGATTTAGGAATTGTTATATTTATACACTCAGTGGATTCTTCAGATGTGATTGAGATTGAGAAAAATCCAGTGGGTTTTCTAGCTTTCTGCTACCTGAAAACAAAATTTCAGAGGAGCTACACTATTTACACTGTTTTTTCACTTTTATTTATTTTCATATTTATCTTTTTCCTCATAAGATTTAGGCCTTATCTTTCTTAGGGTTTAGTATGATTGCAGGTTATTTTACCTTATCTTTGTCTAGGGGCTGGTAAAGACGTGCTATGTGAAAGGCTTTGCTTTAGACTTCTGGAAAGGTCCCATTTTACAGATGAATGTTTCAAAGGAAAACTCCCTAAGCAACATTGTTCACATAACTGTTTTCCTTTCTTTTTTTTTAAAATGGAATTTAGTTTTTTTTCAGTCAATAAAATTCTATTTTTTTCTCTCACTTCTTTACCCATTGTAAGAAAAAAAAAAGCCATCTAACAAATATGCATAATCAAGCAAAAATTTCTTCTGAAGGGAAGGGGCCTCAGTGGAAAAGTTTCTACATATGCTAATAGCTTCATCTTTGTGAGTTTTTAGAAAATTGCTACTAAAAGTCACATGAGGTTTATAACATGATTCAGTGGGTGGAGTTCTTCTATCCTGGAATCAGGAAGACCTGAGTTCAAATCCACCTTGGACATTTGATAGCGGGTAGAAATTCACTTAATCTCCTTGTGCCTCAACTTATGTACTGAATTAAAAGGTTGAATATCTAAAGGAGAGAGAGCCCCATATATTCAGGTGACTTATGTATGGTGAATTCAAGTGAATAAGCTGTTCTTTGTTTTGTCACCAAACCCTATTATCATTGACTTACTCTGAAAAAAACTTGCAACCTCAGCTGTGAGACAGATAATTATAAAGAGTTGAAATCAGACAGTATTTATTAAGGTATCAGATTCTATGAGTTCCAAAAAGCACCAGGAAGCAAACCCCAGGTCTAAGCAAAGTATGAGTTCTGAGTGGACCAGACAGATTCCAGGGTAGAATTTGAAAACAAGAATAAATAGATCTGCCTTACTAGGTATGACCACACTTGGAGCCTGTTAATCAGGACCTAATGCCTACTTCTGATTTTTGTTCTATGGACTCTGATTGAGTATTAACCTTTTTCAGCCTCAATTTAGTCTGTTCTCCAGAGATGATGATTGAAAATTCCACCCCCCCCAAAAAAAAACCAAACAGAAGTCTTAAGATTGCTTTGTTCTAGCAGTGTCTTATAATTAGAGCTATTTCCAAATGAACTATGCCTTACGAAGTAGTGATGTCCCCACCACTAGAGATGTTATAGCAAAGGCTCCATTATATGACTCCCTGGTCTGGGATACTGTAAAGGGTCTGCACGGGGGAAATGGTTCCCATGACCATAGTCTGAGGAATTCATGCTAAAAATCCTTTAATGGTGCCTTAAGCAGTAATTGTAAAGAATATCATGATTAATACATTAAGTTATCCTGGGAGTTTCATAAAACAGGAAAAAAAAAACCATTAGCAATCACTGGGGTAGATGATTACCTAAGATAACTTCCAATTCTAACACACTTTTCTTTCTCACCAAACCCAATTTTTGTTGTATGTTGTATTTTTCCACATTTTTTACCCTCTTGCCTACTTCTGACTCAGCACATTGTACTCCAAGAAACAGACTAGGTGGCATCAAGCTTTTTTTATTTTAAGTACTTAATGGTACCCAAGATTTGAACTTTTCCATATATTTTGCTTTATAGGAAAGCAAAGGGTCACATTTACTATGTTGCAAACCTTAGTTATGGCTAAGGGAATGATGTTAGCTAATGAGACCAAAGATGTTCCTGTGGAATGAGCAAAACATAGAGGTCATTTTGATATTTTGCCAAATCCTGAATTTAACTGGTTTTCTGAGGCATGTTGCTGGAAGAACAAGACACCATGCAGAATTAGGCACAGCAGGATAAAAGCCATGCCTCAGGCCCAGTTCAGTGCAAGGTGTGGTCTGATTTTTCCAAAACAAAAAATATGCTGGCTGAGCTTCTTGCTGGAGCCAGAGGCTATAGGAAACAAATATTTCCTAAGGACTAATGAAAATATGAGAGGATAACAACTCCCAGAAGAAAAACTAAGGGGCTAAGTGGTTTGCATACCACATTTTAAATTATTGGAGGAGTATAAGTAAATATTACCATACTCCACTTTTACTTAACATTTAAGCTTGTCCCATAAATGGAAATTGGGCAAACATAATTAAAAAAAAGAAAGAATGCTATTTAGAGTATCTCTAAACTGGGTGAGTTGAGTTGTTTTCTCATAGTCCAGTGGAGAAGATAATGTGTAAACAGCTGTACAATGAGATATACATGATAGAGAGGGAAGGTACTAACATTAAGAAGTCAGGGGAAAGTATTTTAGATGCCACTTAAGTTCTATTTCACTAAATACTAGTGATGTAGAGGAAAGTGCTCATAGTAGAAAGAGTACTACTCTGTCCTTTGGTTCTGGACCAGCTCGTAACTGTATGACCTTTGGTAAGTTGGTTGGGTAATTACTGGATGTCAGTTTCTTTTTCTGTAAGATGGGAGGGGGGGTTAAGATTAGATGTTTTTCTACAACTATAATTCTAGTAGTGGTTCTGCTATGACACTGCTTTGTGACAAGAGACAAGTTATTTAATCTCTCTGGACCATATTAAGTAATTTCTCTGTTTTTAAAATTACAAAATTTGCATAGTAAACTACTTTTCCCCTCTCTATGTATCTGACAAGTCTACAAGGCTATCAGGTAAGGGGAGGGGAGACAGAGATAATCACAAGTCTGAAAGTCTTAGCTTGTTCAACCATCTTCTTCAATACACACGTACTAAACAGGAGCACCCAGAAGAGTATAGCTTGAAGACTTAGTTTCTCTTCCTTGCTCCATGACACCCCCTAGTGGAAATGTGTGGCTTTGACTTGTGATTTCAGCATAACGAGCTCTTTGGTGAGAAAATTTCCTCTGCCAATGAAGATCAATGCTTGTGCTGCAGTATATAGTCTATATATAGTCTAGTCCATGGTTTCTTTGCCTGTCTGCCATGTTCTGGCTACTTGAGCTAAATTGGTTGCAAGTTTTGATGATATAGGAACCCTCTCCAGGTTGAAAAGGTGATTATAGCTGAACCAACATTCTTCCTTTCGCTCTGGTTAGCTCAGAAGTATTCCTGGGTCACTGAAATGGTTCACCCACAGATGGAACCAAAGCTATCTCCCCTAGATTCCTTTATTAATTTGACTACTGACGTCTGTACTTTTCATCTCTTCCCATTCTGAGTCCTTGGGTAGCAACTGAAGTGTTAGAGATAAAATATAATTCAATGACCAAAGCAGTATTCCACTTAAAAAAGAAAACTGGTATATCCCAGCTAACTCCCCCAGATAGAGTAGCTATTTAACAGACGTGTTTGAGATTTGCTAAAGGGCCAGACTCAGCCCAGCTTTTAGGGCATGGGATTCCAGTAGATGGAACCAGGCTATTTATTATCAGAGAAAAGGACATGATTACAAGGGGTGGGCTAGGAATGAGGAATCTCGACTTACCACATTCTACCCTCTGGTCTCTGCATTCCCAATAATAGCGTTCCATCTTGGGACTACAACCAGCTTCCTCAACCTCGCTGTAACAGCAGTCATGTTTTTGACAGCACCTGAAGACAAGATCACGGTTGCAGTTTATTTGAGGAGCTATACTCGGGTCGTTGTGATTGAGGGGACTAAGATCTTAACTACACATGTGTAAAACAAACGAAAAAGGTGGTAGGGGAGGGAGACAAAATTAATAAAACAAGAGCGAAGTCATAGGAAGGGAAGTACAGGATCACCTGTCCTTTTCTTCCTTTATTCATTTACTCTCCATGATGACCTCTGTGGCTAACAAGGAACATCAGAAATGCTGTAATGGGTTCTACCCATTTCTGTGTTGTGTTCGTAACAAGGGTGCCATGGAACATGTGGGGAGGTGCCATTCCCACCCCCACTCCCCTCTCCCCCTGGCATCTATGTCAAAAATTAGATGTCTCCCCCACATAATATCATTTTTCCTTAATAAGTCATTATGAATCTGTCCAATTTTTTTTTATCTTCCAATAGGCAACACTCATGTATTTAAACTTTTCTTGAAATTACTGATTGGAATAACAAATTCCATTATAGTTTGTTTCCTGTTTCTTGCTGTGTATAAGCATACCATCAATTAAACTCAATTCAGCAAGCACTTATCGAATACCCAGCACTATGCTAGGTGAAGCATAGAAAATAAGTATATAGTATGATTTCTGCCTTCAGGATTAATCAAGTATTGATTGAATTCCTTCTCAATGCTTAGTTTTATGTTCCTAAACTTTGCTAGGTACTCCAGGGGACCCAAGAAAAGCACATGGCATTATCCCTGCCTGAAATCTACCTGGGGAAATAAGAAAAAGCAATCACAGACTGATTGTAGTGTTATGTAAGTGATAAATGAGGCTGTGGCCAGTAGGGTTACTACTGAGGCCAGCATTGTCAGGCTAAGGAGTGATCTTGATTGTGGGGCAATAGATAGAGTGCTTGGTCTTGGAGTTAGAAGAGCTAGGTTCAAATCCCTCAGAAATCTACTAGCTGTGAGATCATGGGCAAATCGCTTAACATCTTAAGGCCTTAGTTTTGCCACTGAAAAAATAGGGATGACAATATTTGAACTACCTGGCTGAGAAAGTTGATATGTTGTATTAATGTAAATTGTTTGCTATTATTGCCAAGAAAGAGGAGGAAGAGACAAAAATAGAAAAAGGAATTAAGAGAGTGGATTACAAATCTTCCCTTGCTTAGAAGATTGTAGAGAGAGAAAAAGAAAGAAGGGGATAGGAGATAGAAGTGTGGGGATTAAAATTGTCCAACCTACAATAAAAGAGACTGAGGCAGAGCTCTTGAGCCAATGACACTTTATTAAAGGGTCCATGGTCCTTCTCTAATGAAGTAGACTTCAGATCTTCCTCCCAATCTGAGATTCCCCCTTCTTCCAGGGTCTTATTTTTATAAGGCTTGATACCAGATTTGATACCTAAACACTCTAAAGGGGCTATACAAAGTACAGAGTCCCATTGGTTGACAGACGATGAGCCCAAAATGATCATCAGCTGAGGGTGGGGAGGTTGTCTCAGGTTGGGCAAAGCATGGTGCCTCTCTACTGACTTAAGTGGTCATAAGATGGTTACCTGCTCATGTTGAACAAAAGAGAGTGGTCTGGAGATACAAAAATAAGTTGGAGGACTTTCTATGTAATTGAGTCACCTCTGCCACATTGGGCTTGGTCAGTCTTGACAAGTAAAAACAAGAATGGAGAGCCTCTAGTTAGCTTCCTTTGATTAACCAAGTGAACTTATGATCTGCAGCTCACAGCTCTGGGGCCTAATATACAGAACTTGTTATTACTACCCCTGTGGAATCATAGCAAACTGATTCATACTGATTGGAATAGAATAAGGGCCCAAATGAATTATTTCTCACAGAAGGTCCACATGGTACTGAATGACAAAGCACCACAAACCATTTACTCCTGGGCCGTTCCGGTGACAAGATCCATGACAGATCCAGTATTTATTGTTTGAGATCCTAACAATTGGCCAGTAAACAAGTATTTTTAAGCAGGTCATCATTCCTCAAATTGAATGCTAAGCCCCAAAGATTCCCATGAACCCCTGGGAAAAAATAAATGTGTATAAAACAGTAGCAGGATACTATTCTGTGGAGATCTGATTTGCCATTTCAAAAGAGACTAGGTCTTCTCTATGGCCTGGGCCCTTAAAAACTTCTAGGTGGTTTTAAAGACAGAAAAGCAAAGATGTGTGGATTTCATTGGAATAATAACATCTCATTTTATCTTCTAAACCCTAGGAGGTAAGGGCTATTCTATTTTGCAGAAAAGGAAACTGAGACTGAGAGAGATTAAGTGACTTGTCTGAGGTCACATAGTGAGTTAGGATTTGAACTCACGGTCTTTCTGACTCCCAAGTCCAGCACTTTTATCCTCTAAAACCAAACAGGTCTGCAGGAAGCTTCCATCTCAAGATGGAGGGTCCAGCTTAATATAATATGGTTACTTCAAAAATTAAAAAAAAAATTTTAATAGTTTTTTTACTGGTTTAGACCACTCTAAAAAAAGCCATTAAGGTTCTGGGATGAATCCCTATGTTAATCAGTTTTCCTCTGTTCCATGGCAATAAATTACATACCTAACCCTGTCACCTTACAAGTGGACATCTTTGGTCATATGAGGACCAGTGAAGAGAATATGGTCGATTCAGCCCAACCCGCTGCCTCTCCAGGAGGAATAGTTCAAGCGCCTGAAACATCTTTATATAGAAAGGTCAGCACCAGTGTATCATACATAATTGTGGGAATCTATTGAACCAAACCCCTTTTTCAATTATTTTCATGAAATTGACTCTCAGCCAGAACCAAAATCAAAACCAATCTTCAGCTGATTACGGGAGGAAAGAGGAGGAAAAAGTCAAGTACTGTAGGCTCAAGTATTCCTAGCCACATGATCTCAGCAAGGTCAGTCCAGGCAGGCTCTTGGGGAGACTTGAGGGCTGGGATGATACCTACCAGTCAGTTTTGTCCCGAGGCCAACCAGTTCCTCCAATGCCACAGTAGCAGCCATAGCTCATGTAAGCCAGTGCTGAGCGGCTTGTAGCACAATTGACGGCTCCCGCCAGCTCCAAGAGTCCCCTCCGATGCACATGGGACTTCCCCAGAACTGAGGGAGAAAAATTTAAGTTAGAAGGGATCTGTCAGAACCCTAGCAGGGTTTATCAGCTTCTCCCCCCAACCCAACACACATGCTTCCCCACTGCAGTACATTTTTAACATATGACATGAAGTTAAAATGAACATTAAGGGCATTTTAGAAGGGAGAGGAAGGCACAGAAAGACAACTTCTGTGGCATGTGGAAGGAGAGGTTTGCCTTGATGGTGGAAGGGCAAGTTGTTATGGGCTACTTTCTCCTTCCTTGTTTACTACCCAGCAGGGCAAGACCCCATTTGAAGTAACTAAGAATAGCTCTGAAACCAAAGCATGCCAAAGTTCATTCATTTCCAGAGGTCCAGGGCTGGAAGGATCCTAGAGAAGTCCATGAGTTCATTACCCTGTTTCCATGTCTCAGATATGAGAAGTTCAAAGGAGGATACTTGTCCATGGAGCCAGTTTCAAGGTTTAGCAAAACTCACTATAATGAAAGTGTCCTTGCTTGTGCCCCACCTCTATGTGTCCTTTTATTCTCAGTGAAGAGGAAGTAAAAATGGTGGCAATGCTTCTTCATACATTCCAAGATAATTTTTTTAAAAATCTAATCAAGTTCTTTATTGGGACATATAAAATGGTGAAAGTTTTATGCATCTCTTGATTGATTATCTACAGCTGTGCAGGGGTGGAAAGAAGGGGAGGTGATAGAAACGTCTTAGATTTAAAACAAACAAACCTACAGGTAATCCAAAAACCTCATCTGAGCAAATCCTCCAAGAAAGGGGAGGCATTTATAATTTCTGTAAACAACCCCCTGGCTCAAGATAAAAGAGTAAAAAGTATGAGCCAAGCCAATCTTTTAAATAAGGGCACCCAGGTGGAGTCCTGGAGTCAGGAAGTCAGAATCCTGCCTCACACACCAGCGGTGTGACTCTGAGCAAGTAACTCCTGTTTGCCTCTGTTTCCTCATCTGTAAAATGATCTGGAGAAGGAAATGGCAAACCACTGCAGTATCTTTGCCAAGAAAACCCCAAATGGGGTCATGAAGAGTTGGACATAACTGAAATGATGCAGTGACAAAATCGTATAAATAATGATTTAAGGAACACCAAAATTGTCCATTTTCATCCTCCCTTAAAATCTCACTTCCCAATAGCTGAAGAGTTTCATTCCTCAAGAGTTAAGAATTTTCAGGGGGCAGCTAAGTGGTGCAGTGGATAGAGCACTGGCCCTGCATTCAGGAGGACCTGAGTTCAAATGTGGCCTGAGACGCATAACACTTACAAGCTGTGTGACCCTGGGCAAGGCACTTAACCCCATTGCCTAGCCCCTCCCCCCAAAAAAGTTGAGAATTTTCATTTTCTAGAGTCATCCATTAAAATACAAATTTCCCACAAATTTACTTATTAAGGGCTTTGCTATTAGTCATCAACCTCCCAAGCTGCTGCGAGGAGTTACTCACCATTTTGCTCAAGGAGGCAGTTAGCTGAGAGGAAATTAGGAATGAGGCAAATTGGTGGAAGGAGAAGTGGGGAGGAAACCCAGATCTTGTCAAGTGCTTAAGGGCAGGCATCCAGGATGGAAAAGTTCCCAAAAGAGGAGGTGAGCAGACACCAAAAAACAACTTCAATTTATTTCAATTCTGTTGCACCTCCCCCTATTAAGTGCAAAGCCCTTAAATTTTGATTTGTCCTGCCTAGGAAGTACATGCCCCATAGGAATCTAGGTGGAGCTAATATTAGAAGTTCAAGTCCCAAGTGAAGGCAGAAAAAGTGAGACTAATAAGGTAAGTGCTATTATGATCCCCCTTTACAGTTGAGGAAACTGAGGCAGACAGCGGTCAAGTTGATTGCCCAGGGTCACAAAGCTAGTAAGGGTCTTTGGATGGATTTGAAACTTGTGTTCTTCCTGACTCCAGAACAGGCACTCTATCCACTGTGACCCTTAGCTGCCTCTGTAAAGAGAGGAACGTAGGGGACTCTCCTTTCAGACTCCACTTTTCCTTCCAATCTGGTCATTAGAAGATTTACACCCCTCTTCCCCTCCGTTTCCACCCCTCTCCCCCTCCGTTTCCGTCTCATCCCACTTTCCAGAAATAGCGGTTAAATAGAGTTCACCCCTATTCTACAGATCCTTGCCCCATATACGACAGACATTCAGTTTGAATTTCTGTCCTCCCTCCCTTCACCCACCATCTCTCTACGTAGTTGACTCTGGCTAGACCCAAATACCTCCTAAGAACCAGGATGGGGTACATAGAGGGAGCAGTGTAGGCTGACCAAAGAAAATACTCCAGCATGCCTCTTTAATGAAACTATGTCTCGTGTATACGTCTGATTGCCAAAGTGACTGTTGGGTCTAAGTATACCGGAGGCGATATACTGCCTTTGCCTTAGAAAACAGTCAAGCAATAACAGTTCCTTTTTCTTGATTTTTCCCCAGAAATCGTCCTGCCCTCTTACCCTCTCCCGGCTCTGGCTAGCAGTCCTAAGTGATTACACCCTGTACTTTGGGAGCCTTCCTGGTAGGCATGTTTCAAGTAGTTGGTAGTTGGGGGAGAAGCAGAGAGCTAAACCAGTGAAAGCTAAAAAAGGATCCGAGACTCAGGAACATAAACAGAGAAAACCAACCATTCCTTTTCCCACCGACACCCCCCCTCCTGAGACTGCCCTTCGATGCATCTTTTCCTCTACAAAGCACGCCTGAGGTTCATTTTCACCTGTTGCCGCTGGCGTGAAAACAGACAAAGGAGGTTACTGTGTGATGAGCTTGCCCCTGCCCTTACTCCCTACACAGGGCGGTCCCCAACTACTCTCGTTGTGGTTAAGGTTAAAATCCAGTCTATTTCCCTGCCGCGTGAAGATTTCAGGGATATTTAGGTTTCCTGTGCCTTCGTGTTTTCAGTCCAGAGAATCAGTCCCCCGAATTCTGTCTCCCAGAAAATCCCTCAGCCCTGCCCGGGGCACGGAAGCTGGTGCCTCCCTCTCCCCCTCCACTCCTCCTACTTAGCTAGACTTCGGGAGAGAGTCCGAGGAAGGGGGTGATTCCGCGAACCGGGACCAAAGGGAACAAGTGCGAACGGAATCTTTGATTCCTAGGTCTTCTGCATCCCATTTTTCTCTAGGTTCCAAGATCTTCCACCTCCGCTCCGCTGATCTGTGGACCAGTCTTCGGAGTCGGAAGGAGCGCCCGCACTCTGAGAAGTTTCACCACACTCACCGGTTGTGAAAAGCAGTAGTAGCATCAGGGGGACAGGTTCCATCTCGTCTGGGCTGCAGGTGTAAGCGCCTCTCTGGATAGCTGACCCCTCTACAGACACCTAGGCGCTCTAATTATCCCCCCCTCTTCCCGCGGCGCACCCCTACCTCGCCCTGACCCCACCCTCACCCAGCTGACCAGTGCTAGAGGTTCACATTTGCCCAGGGGGCTGGATACCTGGGAGGAGTCACAGGGCCTGGGGTAGCTGGGCTCCTGTTCAGACTTTCCGTTTCTGGTCAGACGCATCTGTCCTTACCACCTTGGTCCCCATCAGCTGAACTCAAGGTAAACCCAGCTCTTGGGTGAGTGAGAAGGAGGCGCCTGGGTCTGAGAAGCACCTCCCTACGAGTGCTCTCGCTTCTCCTTTTCTCCATCCTTTTCCTGGCTTGCCTCCTCCCTTCCTTGGGAAAGGATCCCATTTATTGAGTCAATATTTATAGAACATTTTTTTTTAAAACATGTGGCATACAAGCATTACCAGAGGGTGTGTTAGAATACTAAAGAGTAAGAGAGTAAGGTTCAGAAAGGAGGCGAGAGGAGGTGTCAGCTTTGGATGAGCGCTCCCCCCCCCCCTTTCCCACATCTTTCCATCCCAACTTCCATGTAGTTAAACTCTGACTCCCTGGCTATTTTGGGCAATCTCAGGACAGGTGAGTTTAGGGATGAAGCTCCTGATACCAGGGCCAGATTAGCATACTGACTCCCTAATGGAAATAGCAAGTTTAAGAGGACCCGTGACATCTCAACTCTTAGCAACAATGACGGGCACATAATATGTGCTAATAATATCTGCTTTTGAATTACCAAGAAAAGAATAAGTATTCTCGTAGAAAGGACAAGGAAAATAGAAATCATACAATTTTGTATGTGTATATGCATATAAGTTAGTGTCACTAAAAACCGAGTCAATTCAATAAATATATATTAAGGGCCAGTTATCTATCGATCTATCAATCGGGGGCGACTAGGTGGCGCAACACGGACACTTACTAGCCGCATGGCCGTAGGCAAGTTACTTAAACCCGTTTGCCTCCATTTCATCGTCAGTATAATGATTTGGAGACGGAAATGGCGAACCACTCCATTATCTTTTCCAAGAAACCTACAAATGGGGTGCTGAAGAATCGGACACAACTGAACACAACAGCATCTATCAATCAACAATCATTTATTAAGCAATTACCATATACTAGGCACTTAAAGAAATATACTAGTGAGACAGTCTCTGACCTCGAAGATTTTACTTTTCAATGGGGGTGGGGTGGGGTTTACAACACATAATAGGAGAATAGTGTGCAGGAAAGGGACTTTAGGTCTGGGCAATTATAGGGGTTCTGAGTGGAGGCATATGAAAGTGAATTGTTACACTCCTTCCACTAGCAATGCCAGTATTTATTTGTTGTTGCCAGAACTACAGCACGTGAGGCTGGGAGTGGTGGCAGGGAAGACTGCAAGGTATTTGTGTTGGATAGGCCCTGGCATAATGGTGGATTACTGGATGTCCGTGACCAGCTAAATATAAATATAGGTTAATTAATTTTTCAGCCATCAATCAGAATAACTAATAGGTCAGCATCCCCAAAGTGAATAGATTAACTCCTTCAGGATGGGAGGAAGGGGTGATTTCTGGAAGTCTTGGTCTCCAGAATTAATGCATCTGAGAAGGGCAGTGGCAGGGCAGATTTCCAGATACCTCAGCTTGGGAGGCCTTGGTATCCATGTGGATGTCTGTATGGAATGTGAAACATAGCTTGGAGAAATCTAGATATATTGGGTTAGGTAGGTTAGGTAGGTAGGATTCAGCCATCAATAAGCCAATTCAGCCTCAGGGTCTGGGTATAAGACCCTCCAATGGAGTCTTCCTCTGATGTCACTTCATGGTATGAAGGTGGCCCTGTAAGCAACAGAGCTTTGGCTTCCTTGTTTGCTTCAGTAGTAGGTACCACCATTCACTGCTTCCTGTGTCTGTAATCTTGAGGTTTCTTTGCCTTTTCCCTCTCCCTCATACCTAATCATTTACAGAGTCTCAACAGTTCTATTTGTGTAATATTTCATATCTCTTCCCTTCCCCTTTATTCTTATTTCCCCTATCCTAATACAGGACCTTATTCCTCCCTGTTTGGGCAATACCCTTCTAAGGCCTGGTGATCTTGACACCGTCATGACTATCTTCCCTTAAGGGAGGTTGTAGCTTATAGAATCTATGCATGGAAACCATTTCTCTAAGATTAGGCCATGAAAAAATACTGATATTAGTATTTTAAGGTTAATACAGCTGTGTGTCCAAAAATAATATTTTTCCAACTACTATTTTGTCTTTCCCTTTGCACCTGTGTACCTCAAAAAAATCCCCTAAGTGCCCTGAACCTTGATATGCAAATTAGCCTGCTATAGGTGTCCACTAAGATCAGGGTTAAAGTATCCCATTCTCTGAAGGGTCCCATGGGACCATGCCTTTCCACCTGAATGGACCACTTGAATGGACCCATCTCTCTGTGATCCCTAATGAGGCACTGTTCTCATGTGAATTTGACTCTATATTTTAGTTTCTATGTCTGAATTGTATTTTGATTCTCCTCCCTTTCTTCTTTTTTACTTCTACTCTCCCTCTCTTCCTAATAATCTTTCAATAAAACTTAACCTTGAACTGGTCCCAATTGATATGACATATTATTCGTGGTATTTGAACTCAGTAAGGGATCTGTTTTCTCTGAAGTCTCCTGCTGGCCCATTGACCTTTCTTTAGACATAAACTGAGACCCCAGAGAAGGACTTTCCCTTTTGACAGTTGCACCTCCAGTGGGGGGTTGAGTTTTGTGAGCCTAATTTTAGAAAGCATGGATCATGACATGGAAAAATTGGGACACTAATTCATTGTTGGTAGAATTGTGAACTGACCCAACCATTTTGGAGAGCAATCTGGAATTATGACCAAAGAGTTATTAAACTACCTATACCCTTTGACCCACCAACACTGCCATACCTAGTCTGTTTCCAAAGATAAATAGGGAAAAAGGAAAAGAACCTATGTATTCTAAAATGTTTATAGCAGCTCTCTTTGTGGGGACAAAGAACTGGAAATTGCCAGATGTCTATCAATTGGGGAATGACTGAATAAGGTGTGGTATATTATTGTGATGGAATACTATTGTGCTATAAAAAATAATGAGCTCAATGATTTAAAAAAAAACATGGACTTACATGAAATAATGAAGGGCGAAATGAGCAGAAGCAAGAGAACATCGTATACAGTAACAGCAATATTATTTTGACTATTATAAATACCCATATTAACTATAAAGGACATATGAAGAAAGATGCTATCTGCATCCAGAGGAAGGACTGATAAAAAGAAACGTATATAGAATAATTTTACATATATATATACACCTATTTGTGTCTAATGGTAGCCATCTCTAGCGTGGGGAGGGGAGAGGGAAGAAAAAAAAGAAATTTACATGATAATTTTGTTGTATATTTGAAGGGAATAGCAAGTTGTACATAATAGATTTATAGTTTCATATGCAATCATCTTTTTTATTATATTGTTATGGAAATGTATGTTTTATTCCATAAATTAAAAATAAAATAAAATAAAAGCATGGGTCAAAAGGGGAACCTCTGTCCTCCCAAGAAGGTCTCCTTTATGCCAGAGGACTGTCACACAAGCCATCTTCTAATAAATCTTCCCAACTCTATTCTTCCTCCCTCCCCCTTAAATCCCTTAATCTTCTGCCAGAGTAATAGTCCTTATTGTATATACTTGGTCATTTCACTTATCTGCTGAAAAACTTCATTGGGTACCTTTCATATACTTAGTAAAGTTCAGAAGGGCAGCTAGATGGTACAATGGATAGAACACTATGCGTGGAATCAGGAAGACTCATCTTCCTGAGTTCAGCTCTAGCCTCAGACATTACTAGCTATGTGACCCTATATTTAATTCTAAATAGGATAAGAAGCCACTGAGTTTATTGAGTCTCTGTGTGTTTGGGGTGGGTGGGGGAGACTTCTCTAACGTACTTAATGTTTATCGTGTATAGTAGTTAATAACATAGCTAGCATTTATATATCCCTTTAAGGTTTTCAAAGCACTTTACATATATTTCATTTTATCCTCAAAACAACCCTGTAAGGTACCGTTACTATCTCCATTTTATAGATAAGGAAACTGAGGTAAGCAGAGGTTAAGTAATTTACCCAGAGTCACACGGAGCCTGAAACTGGATTTGAACTCAGGTTTTCCTGACTCAGCTCCAGTACTCTATCCACAATGCCACCTAGCTACCTGTTTATGTGTATCTTTCTCCCTCTAAATTCCACGAAGGCAGAGATGTTTTCAACTAAACTTTGACTCTAGAACAATGCCAAAAACAACTTTACACATGCAAATATTTGTTAAATTGTTGAATTACATCCAGGCACAAAAATTGTTCATCAGTCTTCCTTTTGCTTTGAGTTCAATTTCATTAACTTTCCCAGTGTTTCTTGGGAACTCTGCACATATATTGAAGACTCTTTGAAGATGAATTCTGTGATGTATAAAATGTTCAAGAGACACAATTTCTGGGTAATCAATAATTTTTATTAATTATAGCTAGTGAATAATTAATAAAAGGATTTAGCCTATGGTCATCTCTCACAGACCAAAAGAGGCATCATGGTAGCTTATATGCCCTTGGAAGAGTGGATGTTCCCAACAGACAGCAATCAACTCTGATTGGTTAAGGATTAATGAGAGAATGAATATGAGAGGTGGACCTATTCTAATGAGGGACTGGGGGTGATTATGACACTCTTGCTCCCAGATTACCCCCCAGCCTTGAGCAATCTAGATGAAGATCTACCACCACCAAGCCTGAGTAGAACACAATGGGCTTCCTGACTTGTATGGGGTCTGAACAGGATTAAGGAGAAATTTAATCCAATCTCATCCACAATATCCTTCAGATGCTGACTTAATAACCTACTAGGGACTGATTTCTGAATGAGGAAACAGAAAGGGGAAAAACCTTAGTCCTAATTCAAGAACTGGTTATTA